TATTGGCATTTGTTTCATTAAGCCTGAAAAGCCCGATAAGGGGAGAGGATTATTGAGCATTTATTCTTAAAACTCTCTCACTGTCAGAGGGAATGATGGAGTATTGTAACCTGTGCACAAAATTTTGTGAAGTTACCATTCAAATGAATCCTCCCTGCCTGTACTTTCACATGGTACTATTCGTTTTTTCAGCATCTTACACAACGAAATTTGGAAATTCTTGTCGCATTTTGCCACATTTGGCAGCAAAAGGGTTATAGAACGAAACACTTTTGATCATTTAGACGCTTGACTCACCGGAATAAAGAAGTGATGAAACTCTTTGCTGGCGTTGAACTTGTCTGAGTTGTTAAACTTGTCCGATGGCAGGAGTTCGCAGAGACGTTTGTTGTTGACATCAGGGAAGGCAGCCACGTTGTAAGAAAAACACGATGGAATTTCTAGACAGGCGTAGCCACAATCGTTTTCGTCTTGAATAAGATTCCGTCCAATACTTGTGATATTCAGGTAGGAAAATTGATCGATCATGAAGTTGACGTAAAACAGGCCACCAGTCGATCCTTGGCTGAAAGCTTTTCAAGAGAAACGAGGACACAAAGATGTAAGCTTGAGGAATGAGCTTGAAAAATGTTCCAAATGAACTTGGCTATTAAAAAACATGGTGTGCAATACAAGGTAAAGTTTTACCTCTAGAATGACTTGGAAAAGCAGCAAAGATCCCCAATGCGAAGACATAGCATCTGGGAAGTACTGGAAAGCCTACCATCCTTGTTAGGGTTGCGGCCCTTTACCTTGATTAGCCTTCTTAAAAGGTTTGTCCTTGGTTGAAAAAGCCTTCAGTTGTTTAGGTCTAAATGTAGTTGTTAGCCTCCGGCTTACTGTCAAAACAGACTATTAAAAGCACTGCAATTCGGTATTTCAGTGATTCGTTGACAAATAAATTATGTCACCCGTCGTTGATGCGCGGTGTATGACATTTGCAGACTGCAGACCAGGGGCGTAGCTAGGGGGGGTCCTGGGGTGCTTGTGACCCCCCCTTGGAAGGCCTTCTTTTGAGCAAACAACCTACATATTCAGGTGGCGAAAACGCCCTGACAATATCTTGGCCGTAAAAGCCATTGTTGAAAAGCTCACTTTTTTAAAATTTGTTTTTTTGTAAACTATTTTCATCAACGGCTCTTGTCTTTAGTTAATATGGGCCTTCGTGCCGCGGTAATACGACTAAGCCCGGTGATACACGAGGGAGAGCAGCGGGTGAGTAGCCTCTCTGACCCCCCCTTTGAAAAATCCTGGCTACGCCCCTGCAGACTGCAGACTGCAGACCGCAGACTGCAGACTGCAGACTGCAGTCTGCAAATGTCATACAACGCATTTAATACCAATATCAGTGTTTACTTAAGAGCCGCTAAGTTTTACTTAACCAAACATTCGTGTGTGAAGGCCTAAGTAAAATCTCAAGTAACTTTACTTTGCATCTCATTAAAGTCGGAAAGTTGAAACGATTCAAGAAAGTTTCAGGCGACTTGGAAACCATCCTTTAATAAGCTGGCTTGCGGTTACTTGCGGTTTCTTGAGCTTTGAGAAAGGCGGGACATGTCAATCAATCTTATGTTAGGTGGGAAAATAGCCTTAAGTTAACCTAAAGTAAAAAAGAATCGGTTGTGTGTGAAGCTTTATTTTACTTGAAGTAATTAAAATTTACTTGTCTTGAAATATTTCTTAGCTTATTTAGGCTCTAATGTTAAGACTATCATTATCATCATCATCATCATCATCATCATCATCATCATCATCATCATCAAAGGATGCTGTATTCAAATTAAGCAAGGATTTATTCAAATTAAGGATCAAGGGAGGATTATAAAGCAGGAAAAATACACATATATGTTGTAGTAAATTTTTTATCTCACTTAATTTTCATTTTTCCATTGTTTTGGGTATAGTAATGTATGCTAATGAATTTGAAACAAAGGAAAAATAAAAATTAACTGCAACAAATATAATACTTCAAACAGCATAGAGCAGTATAAACATCTAAAACAAAATGAAACAGTAGCCACTGAACCACCCATCACTCACCGTCATCTATTTTCCTGTGAGATCGTAAGAATAGGGCATTTAACGTTAAGGGCGGCTAGCATTGGTTTCAAATATTCCAGCGTGATAGTAATAAATCGAAATGTAACGATGTATACTTATACATAGAAAACTCGCAAGAGAAAAGAAAGTGTTCTCTTAGTTAATATTGGTTGTCTTGTCTTGAATTTAACGTATTCATGCCTTTTGACGGATGCTTAAATAACTAAAACACACCACTGTACTTGTTTGAAGTATGTTTTCGTTGGGCTCGGTCAAGGCCGACCTTTGGGCAATTCTGCACTATATATTGTATCCAAACAAAATGAGTCTTCTAAATAGGATAAGTGTATTGAAAGACGTAATATACATTGTATGCTGGAATGTGGCATGTGATCAACGTTGAATAGAACATTTAAAGTGTATCTGTTCACACCGCTACGTGACGGGCAGTGTAATGCTATTTTTAACCACTGGAATGTCGCGATTTTTTGAAAAATTAGGGTTGAACTCGAGGTCTTGAGGGCTACTTGCACTGTAAAATCGTTTGCCCGGAGATTTTTGTCGATTTTCTGATAGATTGGGGCCTAGTAATGCCGTAGAGAGTCAATTTGCGAAATTCTAAGTTTTTGCTCATTGTAAAGATTTGCATTATTATTGTCAATAGAGCCTATTTTTAACAATACCTTGTTGGCCACAAAATTATTACAGCTTTCACAATTTTATCGTCTTATAGGAAAGAAAGGGTCATAAAAAAAGAAGAACACGTTATTTGGGAAAACAAACTACAGCATGTCTCATTACTCATTAAGGGTTATCGATGAGCCAAAAATGAGCGAAATTCGAATTTTGAACTTGTGCCACAAATAGTCGATTCAGACAGTCGCTCTTTAATGGTCTTAAAAAGGTTTGGTTTCTTCTTTTTGAGTTTATAATAATAGTTTATACTCAATTTTGAAGTGTATCCAAGTTAAAATACAGTAGTAATGCTTCAGCAAAGATAAGCCATGTTGGTGTCTTCCCCTGTCTTCCCCTGTCTTCCCTTAATTAATATGTGTAAGGGTCGAGTCTATGACGTCACCCATTGTTTTATCCTAGAGAAAAAAATGCGTTCCCCCGTATTAATTTAAGTGCCTAGTCAGTGTCTTTCTGCATACTAATTCGGTATAGGTTTACTAATGAGCGTCAATCTACTACAATAGAAACAATAGGCTTGCCTCGGCTTGCCCGTTAAGTAACTTGAACCCGGTTTTCAGAGCGTCTATCAAAAGGAAAATAGGACTAAGAGAAGCGATTACCTAGCAACGCGAGAAACGGCTTGCTATATCTTATTTAGCGCTAAAACTCAGATATATATATATAAACACAACGTGGAGTTGAAAAGTCTTTATTTCAGTTTAGTTTATGTCTTCTTATTTAGCTCTAATACTCGGATATATCAACAAAACATACACATATTACACACGGCTTACATCAGGGGAAGACACCAACCTGGCTTATCTTTGCTGAAGCATTACTACTAAATACCTTTCTGAACCTCGGTATAAGTTACAGCTTCCACCTTGAACAGCCCTGCACTTGCTGCAACACAAATGTAATTTCCTTTATCGTTCATTGTTGTTATGTCTCTAATCACTAGCGAGCCATTAATCTGCTAGGTCCGCCCAACTGGCAGTTGACCTCCTTGTTTCTTTCACCTCATGACTGGTTTTGGATCCACCGAAGCTCTACAGTTTATCCTCAAAGTTCCTCTTAACAACACAACAACTTTTGCAGGTGGCTTAACAATAAAGCGAGGAAGCGAGGCGACAACTAAGAGAATTTTCTTTTCAACGCGTCCTAACAGGTTTGATGCTGAACAGAAGTAAACGTCAGAGTCCTCTTTCCGGACATGTAGAATTTGCAATGCACTGTTATTGTACCTCACCCTTCCCTGGGGTAATTGACCGGATGACTTTCTCCATGAGACCACTGGTGATGGGTACCCAGTCACGTGACAAATAGGAAGGGTGTAACTGTTTCCTTTGATGGCGTAATGAGGTCCCGAATGGAGAGAAACGCGCTGATGAACTGCAAGGAAAAATGCTCTGGTGAAATTTGAAAACAACAATCAGCATCCCATGAAAAGAGATAATAGAAAATTAATTTTGTCATTGAGCGTTATTATGGTGGGGCCATGTTTCTCAGTTTGTCCTTTATTCAGATTTTTTTTTCCTATGGAAAGGTCTCAAAAAAAGCCTGCCCATGGAGGCTATATTCACCATAAATCGATACTCGTCCCAAGACAAGACAAAATTTTCCTTCTTTAACAATAAAAGTGAAAAAATGCTGTTTGGCTGGTTATGAAAGAGGAAATATCAGCCCCATTTTTCTCTTGCATCCCTAAAATAAGATGCCAATTTACCTAATTGCAGTGCCACCTAACTGGTAGTCAATATCAACAATGAAATCGTTCTTTCAAATAACAAACAACAGATAACTCGACTTCCCCGCTGACCCGAAATAAATTTCCTTTCCTTTGATCACAATTTCACTGATATTTACTCCTATAACTCAAATTTCCTGCTAACTCGAAAAGTTTTTTTCCTTTTCCCTTCAGAGTTCAAGTTACCAAGGTTCTGCTGTAGATTAATTTTTCAGCACTTAAAAGTGTCTGAGGTTCAACTATTTATGAATGCATTTGCATAATATTTGAATAATTTATAAATGCCCAAGATGACTTAGCATTCCAACAATCGAATCACCCGAGTTACAGCAAACTTACCATTCACCACAAGTTGTACCAGAGCAAGCACCTTTCCTAAAATGTTGACCGCCAAACAGTTATATTTTCCTGCGTCATTTATAGCCACATTTTTTAATACCAGCTTTCCTCCTGATACCGTTGAAGGACTTATTTGTGACTGACTGTTTAGCTTACTCCATTTTATTGCAGCTTTAGGATTAGCACTCGCTGAACACAGAAACGAGGCTGATCCACCTTCGTTAACTGTCAGCGTTTTAGGGGACACGGCAACAAAAGGAGCTGAAATCGATTCACCAGGTTCTCCATTAGCTCCCGGCATGCCTGCAGGTCCTATGTCTCCTTTTTGTCCCTTGACACCAACATCTCCCTTCGGACCTGCTGGTCCAATGATACCTTGCTTACCGCTCTTTCCAGGCAATCCCATAATACCTTGATCTCCTTTCTGACCTCTTTTGCCTCGGGATTCTTTCTCTCCGCTAGAACCTGGTGGACCGGGAGGGCATGGGAGACACGTGCCACTTTGTGATAGTGACTGATGCTGTTTCAACTCCAACAAAATTTTAAGAATTTTCTTCTCCGTCTTGTTCTTGATATTTTCAGCACTGTGTCTTTTCGTCCGTTGCTTAGTGGAATAAAGGTCTAAAAAATGCAAGACAAATCTGTCACATTTGGTCACCAAAACAAAGTCAAGCACCAAACAATTTACTGAACAATACCAAGATTTCTTAGTTCTAACATTTCTTAGTTCTAAGGCAAGTGATTTAGATGTTTTTTCCCTAATTTTCTGCATATTACTTCCCCTTTCCGTTACACTAAGCAATTATTGTTTTTTTAAGTATAATTGTCTGTTAGAACCAAGATATAACACCTGGTTTTCTTACGAAGTTTGACGATAAGCCGGCCAATAAAACGTTTTGCCCATCATTCTGGGCTACACTCTTCACACTTGGGGCTCGGGAACCAGTGCCTGGTCATTGGTACAAAAGCGTTGTTGTGTTCACACCTTGACTACCCGAAATGTGACTGTGTGCATGCTGTAGTTACTCCATCTCGCCCAGTCAGAAGCAGTTTTGAGAAATGAGCTTAGCAAAGCAGTGGGCTGCCCCAGAACGAAAACTGTGTGCACACAGGGACCCACCCACAGGTGCCCACTAGGTGTGCAAGGTCTCGACCCTTTAGTCGGGCACCGGCATAGTGCCCGAATTCCAGCATGGTTACTTGAAAAGAAGGTGTGTTTACATTAGTGCCCTGCGAGTACCAAATATTCCGTGACACGGCACAACAGAGTGAGAAATAAATACCATGAGAGCTATCACGATTATAGCGTCGAGTTTTCTTATCCTGGAACCTGTTTCTTGAAAGTCCTGGCCCCAACTGTTCAAACATTAGAAAAAGCTGTACACCAGATAAATCACCATCTAGCAGACAGGTATCATGGCCTTAACTGAGCCAGACGCCGAATTTTCTATGAGGTTAACTCACCAAGTTTGGTTCATCTCATGAAAAGTTCGACACTAGCCCTAGGCCTTACCGGTAAGGCAGGTTATCTTGGTTTATTATGTACTAAGGGGGCGGGCGTCGGGATTTACTACTCCCAAACCGTTCCCCGCCCCTTAAGTAGATTTGACACTCATCCAAGATGGCCGTAATGCAAGGCGCTCCATCTAGACGATCTTACGGGAAAATACAGTTCTGTGACCAGTCTAAAGTATTTTATTCTTACGTCCAGTCAATATGCACTGCTATTGCTCAATGGTAAGAGCTTTAACTTCTAGTATGCCGCAGTGCATGATTGAACATTCCAGGACTCCCAGGCTTTTGCCAATTCATTTGGTATTAAAATACTCAAAAAATGATCATTTTGGTTATCTCTCTTAAATAAACAGTTTTCAAATATGGTCAGAAGCGACTAGAACAATATACAGGAGGATGTGCATTTAAGAGAACGAGAGAGAAAAATAAGTAACGGATGCAGTCCAAGTTTGAGGTCCACGTATTTGTAGTGGTTCGACGGTCAGGGCATAATCGTATCGAAAAAAATACGTCATCCTCTCTTCAAGTCATATGTTTGCATTTTGGTTTGTTCGTTCAGTACTTTTATCCCGGCAGCGAACAACGTGCATCAATTGGTGACTTCTAGATAGCTGTTCGGTGGCTATTTAGCTCTAATTTGGCTCGTTGGCCAGGTGGTTAAAAGTCGCCCATAAGTTTTTAATCATTAAAGCCTCAAAGGACCTCAAAGGAAAGTTGTAACTCTCAGTATTTTCTTTCAAAAACTTACCAGGAGTGATTTCCTTGCTCCTTGTTACGAGGTCAAGAATGTTGAAGTTTGACTTGGCTTCCCCGACGCTTTCAAGAGCGTTTATCCTCTTCTTCTGTTCGTTCAGCTCCAATTCTACTCTCAGAAAACCGGCGCTGTGAAACACAATCGACAAAACAGACAGAATTGAGGCAAAGAACGGCAATGTCTGTTTCTGAGCAGTCATTTTCCACTGACTGCGAGAGGATCGGGAAGGCGGGTTTGACTGAGACAAAGCAGGGTTTGTTAGAAACTGTTTCAGCGGATATACGATACCAGGATTAAAAGATTGGGTATCGTGCCAGCTTTCTTCTCCTATTTTTGAAACTTCCTTGCTGTGTTTTCTGATACAAATTTACAAGTAATGCGTTTCTCCGGGGAAAGGCCAACAGTAAGAGATCGGGTTAGAAGCCAAAAGAGGACAAAATGGAAGGAAGAAAGAAATTAAATCAACAAATTAAGATCAACAAGGTAAAAGTATTTTCAGCTGGTTTCAAGGTCAGATCAGCTGCATCTGTTCTAAAATTATTTGTTTTCAGGAAACTAAATCATTTTCATTTGAGAGACCTAGTTTCTTACAGTTTGGGACGTGGGTCAAAGCTGTTGAGTGTGATTAAATGGTGCCTTTTCACAAAAGTTGGGTGGAGACACTTCCTTGCTTGGTTGTTTTTCCCCTTCGCGTAACATTTCCACCTAATGGTTATTCCCTAATCCACCGTTAGTAGCCCATCCGTCAAAATGATATATAATCAAATCTTAAGCTTGAGATCGTGATTTTTTCTTTTTCCTTTTCTTTGAGTTAATTTACTTTCCTATAGTTAACTCTGCAGTCAGCTGGTACGGCAACATCGATTATTTTACCGACTCAGGAGTTCATCATCCTCATCATAGGTTCCTGACGGACTCTATCCTCCTTCCCACAACCACAATATCCGGTCTCCTAGTAGCCTGCAGTGCAGGTGTATTTTGGGCGGGCGAAAGCTGCTTGTTTAAGTTGGTATTGTTGTAACCGCCATCTTTGATTTTATGACGAAGGAAGATAACGGAGAGTAAAAATAGTAACCCTTATGGTAGGTGCTAGGGCGAAAGAAGGAAATGGGGAAGGGGGAGGGGAGAAAATGTAAATTACTCCTCATCTTCAACAGCCAGTAGACCTTCAAGCAGCAGTGGGAGATCGCATAATCCTACTCATCTTTCAGACCGGGATGCGAGTGTAATTGATATGGCAGATTTCAGAAACCTTTTCCGCCATATACGGCATGTACTATTTCATCACTTTCACCTGTGCAAAAACCCTCAAGGCTACCAAAGCGCGGATATCAACCACGCCCTTACTCTAAACTCAAAGAGATAAGCAAGATACTATTCCTTGCAAATCTCAAAAGCTTGAGTTGCAAGCTTCTGGCTTGGGCGGAACGAAGGTGGTGTGTCATCTTTCGCTATCTGTGAAATGTTACAAACTCTGCCTTCAAATGCTAAAAGGGTAGTTCATGGCTCAGATCTTGTACTGAATTATTAACTATTCACTGCTAAACCAGCTTAAATTGGCCACAAGGAACAGCTGTCCTAGCTAAGCCTGTGTAGTCATCAGTTTGACTGTTTGGGAATAACTTAAATAATCCACCGGTGCAGCTGGTGTGAAACAGATAAATTCGGCCAGAGTTATAAAAACCCTTCAGTACTTACTTGGAAAAAATGTAGTACTGTAACTCTCGATGCTAAGTCAAATTTTCTCTTTGTGTCACAAGCGATTAAAACAACAATTTGGAATGAGAATCTAATCGTTGGAAATGAGTCACTTAGGGCTGTTTTCCATGGTCCCTTTCAGTTGTTGATTTTCTTTAAAAATTTCCCCTTTCTTTAAAGGAAGAAAAAAATTTTCCATGCAATAGAGTGACTAAAAACAGCTCAAGAAAAGAAAAAAAATATCTTACAAAAAACACCCGGAACCAACACTGCAGACAAGCGCTCAACTGGTTGTTGTTGCTCTCATACAAAAGCTCTCTTACAAGAACGCTGAAGTTGCACAAAGAACATAGAAATAGATAGGCCACTCAGGGTCGCGTACCATTTAGCAAAAAATACTGAAAATTCCAGATGATAAGCTAATGGTAAGGTCATTTTTCGGAAATCCCAACTGAAAATTCAGGACAATGCTTTCTCTGTCTCCCGTTTTTTCCCCATTTGTCGGTTCCAGCCTCACACAAAACTCATTTGTGCCTTATTTGGATTCAGCCCGTTACAGAAATGCCAAATCTGGGTGAACTGGAAAAAATTGCTTGACATTATGGTACTGGTTACCTAGGGTTTGAAATTAAGTTTTTCTTTAAAGGGCCAACTGGTGACTAATAACTGGAAAATTTCGGACGCCAGACCATTAATTTTGGTAACCAGCTTTATGCATTATATCTCTTGCTTGACAAGATAAACAAAAGCAAAAAAATTTTTAATAATGTTGCTTTCCAAGAATGGAACGTCGTGGTCTGTTTTCATTATAATTTCCTTAGTTATTCGAAATGCAGATGGCTGGGGCAGAAACCATTCATTGGTGTTCATCACCAGCGAAATACAGGTCCTTTATTGTAGCTTACACATCTTTGCACTCAGCTTCTGGTTGCAGTGGTGACCAGTGAATGGTAATTTCAAAGCCCTGTTACTCCAACCTGATTTAGTGTCAAATGGTGAGTCCCCCAACATTATTCAAGCTGGAATTAGACTTTCTTTGGAGGATTTCACTATAAATATTGGAAATGGTGACCAGACAACTCCAGCCAGAGCTCAAAAATGGTTATTTTGGTTTTCTTTCTTGCAAAAATTGCCAGTAGAGAAAGAGTTATGCATTTTTTCTGATCTGTCACCACCTTCAAACCAAGGTCATAGATAGATATCGTACATTAGGATATTTAAAGTACAGCATATTCAGAGGCACAACACCAGACCTGAAGAATAGAGGAATGGCATGAGCTCTGCTGTCAGAAAAATACATTGAACAGCGTCAAGTTCATTTGCTCCTACGTGTGTAGAAGCAGTGACCTTTTGTTGCCAAACAAAGACAAGGTGCATTCACATATACAGTGACAGAAGCATATACTTCTGACAGTGACTATAACGTATGTTGATAAAAAGGAGGGATTCAATGACTAAGTAGCAAAACTATAAAGCCAAAACAGTCTGATTGGCTAATTGAACATATCACATGTATGAGAGTTAGACACTTCTTAGCCAAATCCACTGTTTTGAGCCGTTCGTCTACTTTGAATTCAGTTTCCTAGTAAACATTAGCTAACACTACACAAAAACACACCACTACAAAGGTCTGTCTCTAAGAGCCGGGGCCAAGGATTTTCCCCGGATGCTACGTGTTTAAGCGTGAGCTCTGGCTACTCTTATTTGAAACAAAAGGATACTACAACCCAAAGAACTTCCTAGCTGTACAATTCCCCTCCTACTAATTGCATTTACCCGGCAACTTGGAATTTTAGCGACAACCCTGATACAGAAAGAAAAACCACTGACATTTGAGACTGCTCACTTAGGAAATGGCGAAGACAATGAAGATGATAATGGAAATAGGGATTTCGAAAATAATTCACAGAGTATTTGGGTATGCGGGTACTTGGTGTACTCGGTGCATTTTGGTGCCTTAGGGTCATGAACGTCCCTGCCCTACAATGCATAGTTCTGAATCGCCCTTGGGCAAGGCGTAGCACACGTGAGCCCCCAATGTCAGGGTCACGACACTGTTGCCTGACAGTCAGGTTTTTTGTTGTAGCCACAGGCTAAGGGAGACAACCCCTACAGAAAACGAGTCCACTGCTGGACGGTCTGGCGCTCCCCCACCATTGCTTGCTGGGATTTGTCTTAATGAGTCTAGCTATTGAAACATTGATTTAATGAACACTGCAATTTTCCCTACTTACCGACTCGGTCGGCGCCCGGCTAAACAAGGGCAGCGTCCCTTAAAGCTCCTTAACTGTGGGCAACCAGGGTGGAGATAATAAGTCAGTTACAGGAAGACTCCTAAGCTGCAAGATAGACACTCTGGTGTCAACGTTTAACTTCCGTTCACTCAACTCCAATGAGAAGATTGGAGAGCTAACCGCGCTGGCAGAGGGGAAAGGAATATTTCTTGTTTGTCTGCAGGAACATCGGAAATTTCATGATAGTGGGGACGTGCAGAATACTAATTTCGGCAAAGGCTGGATCTTGGCCACTTCCTCGTGTTGGAGGAATTCCGTGAACAGTTACGTGGGAGAACTGGGTATGCTACTAAGCCCCTCTGCTTACAACTACCTAGAGGACAATGTTGTGGTAGTGAATAGCCGGATCCTGGTGGTAGACCTCAGTGGCAACCCTGCTACTACTATTATATGCTGCTACAGTTCAACAAACTGCTCGGATGACAACGATGCTCTAGACTTCTACAACCGCTCTCTGAAGTAATAAAGAAGCTACTTGGATATAAGATCATATATGGCGATATGAATGCACAAATCAGTCCCATAGACTTCGATGGGTTTAGCTTTGGAAAAAAGACGCATAGAAACGGTAAGATTATGTTGGATATTGCTACTGCAAGTGAGCTTATAATTTGTGACGCACGCTTCCAAAAGAGCAATGGATAGTTGTGGACGTTCATGTACCCAAGTGGTAAACGAGGTAAACCACCACGCAAGTTATAAATGTAGGGTAACCTAATTTCAAAGATACAGTATTTTTTCCAGAATAATACCGAGGGGGATGTTTGCTTGCAGGACACTAGACTGCTCACTGTCCCTTATCTTTCCGTAAGATCGTCCAGATGTGCGGCCTTCTTGGGTCCGCTGTCCCAGAAGTAGATTTCATGGTCATCCCCAGGGTAAACCAGGTACATTTGAAACCAAGATAGCCACCTGTTAGAGAATTCGCTTGATCCCGACGATTTTACGGTAAAACAGAGGACTGTGAACAGTCTAGCGGGCCTCCTGCCAGCAAGCACACTCAACCCCCATCCCCAGCCCCACCCTGAGTCAAGGAGCTTTATGAGTCCTGAAAACAGGTACTCGTCGGTTTAATATGACAGGGCTACCAGAAATATGAAATATATTTTTAAAAATAATAATAAATGCAAACATAAACGTCAAACATAAAACAAAACAAAGTGAAAGCTCATAGCGACAACCAACTGTTTTTTAGATGCTAAACTGAATGGACAGTAGCCTAGTCCTAGAAAACTAAAAAGTTGCTATTGTTAATGCACTAGGCACTTATACACGCATGATTCTTTATTTTGTAGCTTCTCAACGAAAACAGTAATAAATATAATAGAATACTCTATTGGTAAGATAATTTCCTGCCTTTCAATTTTAGTCAGACTAGTAAAAAATGTTTTCGCGGCGTAACGATTCCAGATATAGGAATGCTTGACAATCGCCATCATGCGATATCAGTTTTTTTGTACACAGCGAAGACGACTCGGTCGGCGGATTAAGCACTGTAAACAGGTACACCTGTAGTATTAATGCGTTTGGCGTGAAGGGTTTCTTTTCTTAAATGATATTCTATTCTGTTAAAAGTCACAAAAAGTTGAAAATACTTGATGTATCAATGAATGGCTTTGCATTGAGACCTTCTATCGTGTATTGTAAACAGGCAAAATAGAAAATAGGCATGTTTCGTCGATCGGTTGTGCTGATAAATCGCTTAAATCACAACATATTTTTATGTTTCTCTGTTTCTGGACATTCACTTTGTTGTACTGAAAAGATATTTTGATTAGAAGATGTGGGAATTTTGCACAATGCTAGGATGAAATTTTTGAGCCCTTCCCGCCTAGGGCAAAGTGAGTGTAAATCAAAAAATATTTAGTGGATATCAGTTCCTTTTGAAGAACCAAAATTGTTTTTTTTACATCATTTAAGGACCAATTTAATCCTAGGAAGTGAAAAAAGTCGTTGAAATTGCAAAACTTTGAAGTGGTAAACTCGACAATATGCGTTATCTTTACTCTTTGTCACTGCAAAAATTTGGCCGCCAGGCGCTGAAGTGATTTTCCTCCCGAAAAATTTTATTCTGAAATATTTCCAAAAACTAAGGCGGTTCCAATTACTTTTGGACTAAGATATATTCATGGGCAAAGTTTAAAGAAAATTGATTTTACGATCCGAAACGCAGTAGACCGGTTTTAGGGAGAGTCCCTCTTAAACTGGTGGTAAATTCACCAACACACCTAAGAAAGTAGATTTAATTGTGTGGCGAATATTCCATAGCAGCGCTACAAAGCCTAGGAAACCCATGAACCGAACACTCTTCTGGGAAAGTTTTTTAATGGACCTTAACGCTTAGCCAATTTTGGGCCTCTGTTATTTATCGCAAAAAGCACTGTACCAACAAGCTAGCCCAAAATTAGCACGAAGTAACATCTGAACAATTATTTAAGGCAAAAAACCTATATTCTTCAACAGTTACGAATTCATTCTAAAGTGTCCAAACATTCTCCACCTTCGGAAGTTTATGCATTGCACTGTTCCTAGAATCGAACAAGAGCATTTTTTTGTTATGCGAATAGTTTCATGCATTATAATTTTCATCTTAATACCTCACAGGTCCGTCTACCTACTTCACTTGGAAAATGTTTCAAGGTCCCGTTTTTGACAATGATTTTAACCATTTAATTAAATTTGACACAAGTGGTTTTTAATTTTATACCATGTATTCTTTGTCTCTTTATATTTCGGACTACTATTTCTCGGTAAGGAGTAGCTTAAGACTCATGGTCAACATAAAAAATATTACACCACTACTGCAGCCCAGTACATGCCTAGTATGTACGCGTCTTGTCTGTTCTTAAGGTAGGTTTTGAGTGGAAATGACATCAAGGTTAACAGTTTTTCTTGCCTGCAAATACAGCCGTTTCTCCTTGCTCCTCGCCACTAAGGACGTTTCGCCAGGAGAAAAGTACCCCTGGTGAAACGTCCTCAGCGGAGAGGAGCTAGGAAGAACAGCCGTACTCACATGCTTAAGTTTTTCCGGTTAGATGCCCTGAAAAAGAAGGGAGAACGATCTCAATGAAATTGCCCCCAGCCCCGAGACTGTTAAACGGGAGGCCAAGCTTATTACAAAACCTAAACCATACCTGTCACCAAACTGGCTGAGCGACGAATGATAGAGAAACAGTCACAAAGCAAACCAGCTAAATTATGTTTATTCATTAAACAAAATATCAAATCAGATTGAATAGCTTTGTACCATAAGGCTTTGCAGTATAAATGGTAAGTGGTGACTTCTCTAACTAATCAATTCCGATCTTACAAATTTATCACTTTTTTATGAGGATACTACGAAAATTATATCTCTTATTATTATCTTTTTTCGATTTTTTTCATCTGCAGCTCCAATATGACATCCGTGTATTTAGCCGTGACGCATATCCCACTCAAAACAATATTATACCTATTCTCATTCGTGTAAAGCTGCCGCTTGACGATTTAATCAACTAGATTACTGCGTGCTCCCTTGTAAAGCAATCTATTGATCCTTTACGGTCCCCAGGAAAATTCCCTAGGCCTTTTATACGTCCTTGCAAATAAATTCGCCTTCTTCTCGCAAGTCTACTCTACAACGAGCAAGCAAGTTTCCCCACCCTCCTCCCCTTCAGCGGCGCTGGAAATATTTCTCTAGCAGCCCACACTATGCCTTATGCAAATTTTTTCAGCCATAACTTATAGATCAAAAGGCACAGAGTGGGTTTATGCGAATGCGAATTAGTTACTGTTCTTGATGCGTTTTCCACGCTGTAACATTAAATGTGGAAGCTCCATTTTTACTTAAAAAGGTCGAAGCTTTTAGAACAAGATTACCTATGACATATAAAGAAAATTATTTTCCTAACGTCAATTTCAAACTGATTTTCAAACTAGATAAGGCTAGCCTAGGTGCCAATCAGAGGATTCTCAATGTCGCAGAGATTAGCCTCCCACACTGGCGTTTTTAGAGGAGTCGTACTTCCTCCCTTCTCACGAACTCCTTTGAAAACGACTGCGTGGGAGGCTACGCGGAGATAGGACAATAGCTAATAATTGACAAATTAAATGGTTTTAAATTGTAAGTTAAAACATTCAAGGACAGCTGAATAATAAACTAGGATTTCAAATAAGAACTTCAAGATGATCACTTTCGTTTCTAGTCTTGCCAAACCGGGTCCGCGAAAGTTGGCTAAGTCAACAAACAAGTTTGCCGATCAACACACTAAGTTGTTATCTGGTAAAACACTTCAACATCAGTGGGAGTGAATTTGTAGGATCCTGCATAAAACTGACAGGAAGAGTAAGATGCAGAGTACCCAGGGGGGAGGGGGTAGGAGTGGCCACAGTATGTGAGGGAATTGCGGTTGCTTCCAGCGTTGTTGGGTATGTACAGGTCGTGTCCTCCACCAAAGGTTGGTCCCCTATCAGAACATGTGTAAATAGCGCCACTATAACGACTTGACTTGATGTTCACCTTAACAGGAACGTAGCCATTGATGTTATATAACGAGAACAGGAACGATTTGCTGGATGAGACATAGCGACAAGAACCTGTGGAAAACACATGTAAAATGTAGATTACGGATACGTTCATAAACTGTATTGGTCAAAGGCTTCACCGACTAAGGAGCAAAAATAATCACAATGCCAGGAACACAAGCTACAAATAGATTCTTAGTTCGAGTTTGTTTTTCATCACCAATATCAACAATAAGACTAACTGAAGTCAAACTGGCCTCCTCTTGGGCTAGTTGCCAATTCAAGATACGGGAAATATTTTATGTTGTTGCAAGTTTTCTTTTTTCTGCTCACTTGTTTTGACAGCAGTAATGTAAATTCATTTCTGAATACGAAGTCAGTGTCACATAAAACTACTTAACTCTTTGACATCCGCTTTGGTCGTTTTTGGTCCATAAGGACCCATAGGTACTATCCTTCCATTAGGGACCTTACGATCCGACAACGGCTACGTGCACGAAAACGTCGCTGAAAAACAGACTTCGCATCATTTTAAACTTTTTCGCGATTATCCCAATTCGCCCTGTTGCTTAAAAGAAGGGAATTTTGGCTGGAGCTGAAGAGAGGGGAACGCGCTCAAGTTCGGACATAGATGGTAGAATTTATCGCCTTGCCGTTCCGTTCCCAAGTAAACTTAAAATTTGGTCATTTCACGTCGTAGTTGTGCATTGAAGGCAAAGAAATGTACAAAAAAGCATGATGCACGTGCAGAGTCGTTGTTCTGCTCATTAAACCTATTGTTTTTTGACGTTCCCGTTGCCGTCGTCGTCGTCGTGGTTTCGTAAAGTCCCTATTTAAGCTACTAAGATGGTAATTAGCAAAATAAGCCAGGATAGGTCTTTCCACTGGTGCCTCATTTAGCAAAATTTGACCAATCCTGACAGAGTTACAGACAAGAAACAAACAATATTTGGCGAAAAATTCCACTGCCAATTTTGCTATTTACCTACTACTCATTGCAGATTAAATTTGTGAAAGAAACACGATAGGGTGGGTAACAAAACTGGCTATAAAAAGAAAGGCAAAGGGAAAAAGAAGAGAGTGAGAAAAAAGATCGAAGTAAATCCGCAATGCCCGAAAAACAAAAAAGCTGCTTAATTACATCCAATTAGTAGAAAACTGTGTTCTTATTGGTGGTGGAAATCTCTATTTTTAGCCATTTCTATGCTAGCTCACTGCTAACTGGCCGAAAACTGTTCAAAAACGAAGATTTGGTTAAGAATTGGCTGACAGCAAAGCATGGCAAAGAGTTTAAAACAAAAAATTAACAATTGTTCAATTCTTTTGTTTTCGGGTCACTTTATCATTCGCCGTTCCCTGTATATTTGTGCCCTTTTCTTTATTTAAATGTTGTGTCTTGTACCATTCTAAACAGATGAACTAATTTTAATTTAACAAATAATGAATAAACCTTTTACCACGGGAAATTGGTGCGGTGCATCATATACGGCATGTACTATTTCATCACTTTCACCTGTGCAAAAACCCTCAAGGCTACCAAAGCGCGGATATCAACCACGCCCTTACTCTAAACTCAAAGAGATAAGCAAGATACTATTCCTTGCAAATCTCAAAAGCTTGAGTTGCAAGCTTCTGGCTTGGGCGGAACGAAGGTGGTGTGTCATCTTTCGCTATCTGTGAAATGTTACAAACTCTGCCTTCAAATGCTAAAAGGGTAGTTCATGGCTCAGATCTTGTACTGAATTATTAACTATTCACTGCTAAACCAGCTTAAATTGGCCACAAGGAACAGCTGTCCTAGCTAAGCCTGTGTAGTCATCAGTTTGACTGTTTGGGAATAACTTAAATAATCCACCGGTGCAGCTGGTGTGAAACAGATAAATTCGGCCAGAGTTATAAAAACCCTTCAGTACTTACTTGGAAAAAATGTAGTACTGTAACTCTCGATGCTAAGTCAAATTTTCTCTTTGTGTCACAAGCGATTAAAACAACAATTTGGAATGAGAATCTAATCGTTGGAAATGAGTCACTTAGGGCTGTTTTCCATGGTCCCTTTCAGTTGTTGATTTTCTTTAAAAATTTCCCCTTTCTTTAAAGGAAGAAAAAAATTTTCCATGCAATAGAGTGACTAAAAACAGCTCAAGAAAAGAAAAAAAATATCTTACAAAAAACACCCGGAACCAACACTGCAGACAAGCGCTCAACTGGTTGTTGTTGCTCTCATACAAAAGCTCTCTTACAAGAACGCTGAAGTTGCACAAAGAACATAGAAATAGATAGGCCACTCAGGGTCGCGTACCATTTAGCAAAAAATACTGAAAATTCCAGATGATAAGCTAATGGTAAGGTCATTTTTCGGAAATCCCAACTGAAAATTCAGGACAATGCTTTCTCTGTCTCCCGTTTTTTCCCCATTTGTCGGTTCCAGCCTCACACAAAACTCATTTGTGCCTTATTTGGATTCAGCCCGTTACAGAAATGCCAAATCTGGGTGAACTGGAAAAAATTGCTTGACATTATGGTACTGGTTACCTAGGGTTTGAAATTAAGTTTTTCTTTAAAGGGCCAACTGGTGACTAATAACTGGAAAATTTCGGACGCCAGACCATTAATTTTGGTAACCAGCTTTATGCATTATATCTCTTGCTTGACAAGATAAACAAAAGCAAAAAAATTTTTAATAATGTTGCTTTCCAAGAATGGAACGTCGTGGTCTGTTTTCATTATAATTTCCTTAGTTATTCGAAATGCAGATGGCTGGGGCAGAAACCATTCATTGGTGTTCATCACCAGCGAAATACAGGTCCTTTATTGTAGCTTACACATCTTTGCACTCAGCTTCTGGTTGCAGTGGTGACCAGTGAATGGTAATTTCAAAGCCCTGTTACTCCAACCTGATTTAGTGTCAAATGGTGAGTCCCCCAACATTATTCAAGCTGGAATTAGACTTTCTTTGGAGGATTTCACTATAAATATTGGAAATGGTGACCAGACAACTCCAGCCAGAGCTCAAAAATGGTTATTTTGGTTTTCTTTCTTGCAAAAATTGCCAGTAGAGAAAGAGTTATGCATTTTTTCTGATCTGTCACCACCTTCAAACCAAGGTCATAGATAGATATCGTACATTAGGATATTTAAAGTACAGCATATTCAGAGGCACAACACCAGACCTGAAGAATAGAGGAATGGCATGAGCTCTGCTGTCAGAAAAATACAT